GAGGTTCACCTTTACTTTTACAATTACTTGTTGCCGCTGTTTTCTACAGAACCTTCATGAGTAAAGCATGAGAAGGCTGTTCCAGTAATAACATTAACGTTGCTATCTTAAGAGCAATAGTAGAACTTCACATGAATACATTACGTAAAATCGTGCCTTGTTTGTTTGGTGACGAACCAAGACATGGCATTGATTGATTTCAGTAATTATAGTAGTTTCTGTGGCTTGCAATGAAATGGACTTTTTCATGCTACATAGAAGGCTGAATGAACATGTATGCCGCATTTTTTTTTTTTCACGTCATATTTTCCCAAAGATGACAATTCATTATCCACTTGAGGAGGTCCTTCGTCACTGCACAGTTATTAGTGTTTTAAAGTTAATTACGTAAATGTATAATAAATGATTTGTCAACTTTGACGTATTTTTGTAAGCGTATACATACATTCCAGTCTATACACCATATAAAAGATGAAATTGGTCCATTGAAAGAACTTCTGGAAACCGAATAAAAGTTAAAAAGTACCAGTTTGGAGCAAATTAACATGGTTCAGTGTTTAGTTTTAAATTATGCCGTTGGAATACATTACCTCGTCAAGAAATTTCACAGGAGCCCTTTCACGTACATAATGAACCATGGAAATTTTGGAGCATTTTGGCGGGAATTACGAAAATTATTTCCAGTCCGCACTTTGCAGTCTCAGGACCCCAATGTTTGTGAGTGTCCTCGATGGGTGTAAGAGGTGGCGAAATGTTTAATTTTTTATTTTCAGATTTATTTTCAGATTTTTTTTTTTTCAGATTTAGTTTTGACTCTTTTGTTTCTAAAACGTAACCTTTTCAGTTCACGTTCAGTTCAGTTCAAGTTGGGGAAAAAATATCACATTACAGAACACTGTTGAGGTGCTGCTACACTGGGAAATTTGTCGTGCAACTAACTTTGCAATTTTGTTAATTCTCATTCTCCTCGCGGTTGAAACGAAGCACTCGCGCAATAAATCCCTCCAGGGGTCCGTTGATAGACCCCGCGAAGCCCAACCTTCTTTCTATAAAAACAACGTTGAGGTTTGCTCTAGACAAAATAGCGGAGCACCATTCTCATTGGAATCCACGAACTGCTTTTCTCTTGGTCGCCATGGCTAGCGGTATTGCTCGTGGGATCGTGCGCACGACGACGAAGTCGTGCAACATTAACCCTAACCCTAACCCAGAAGTCGCACAACATGGCGGCCATGGTAATAGTTGACCGAGACATGCAGCCTTGATTTACAGCGTACATTTTTTAAATTGGACATCCATGTAATGGTCTATTGACACCTGTTAAAACAGGGTATCCGCTGACCCGTATCACGTGACTATATCGCGAGCTGAAGTTTAGAGCTCATCACTCCCTGCCCAGGACCTAGGTACAAAGGGACAGATACTGGCTACTGATATTAGGTTTTGAGCCGCGCCATGCTTGGGAGTACGAAGACTAGCTAGAGAAACTGCCTAACACCTGGAAAAGAATGCCGCTCGCGAAGTTTTCGTTGCAACAAGCCACGCACGAAGTCGAATCTAGCACTTCTCGCAATGACTGCGGCAACGCTGTGATAAGATTTAATGCCTTGACTGGGGTTGTTACATTAATCAAGGTTCAAGCGACTAGAGGGCGCAGGTTATTGGAGACAACGCTAAGAGTATCAGAACGCTGAGCGCAGGCAGTATGACGTTCGTTTGAATGGCTACACTCTTTTAATCGCGTAAATCAACTTGCACGGCTGAGAGTGATGCCGACCGAGTGAGTCATGGCTGTGCAAGACCTAGTGGGATGTATTACATCTGATATACTGTTTGTCCGATCTTCATGCATTATTATCCTTTGAAATTTTATCACGTTATACCACATCCATCAAACATTTATACATGGTCCAGTTCATTTTATAAGCGGCACTGTCACTTCCTCCGAATTTGCTGTTTGAGTGGCCTCCTATTCCTTGGAAATACAGGAAAGATAGCCTCCCACCTCGGACACACATCAACTGACAACGAGGAGCTTCGTTTCACAAGAGGATTTCACCCTTTTATGGCCAAGCTAACAGACTTCATTTTCCACAGGATTCTTATTTTTCTCATTCTTTGGGTTTTCTTTGGTCTCCTTACCCCTAACCTCAAACAAGTTGCAATCCCCTACACCCCATCACCTCATCCATCCCACTCTTCAATGAGCAGAAAAACGATTACTGTATATTTATTATATGCCTGTGCTATTATTATTTTAACAATCTGAGCTAAAGTGAATCAACGTTGTATTTCCTACCGTGTTTGTCCTCAGTAATATGCTGAAAATTTCCCTTATATTTCAGGTGAAACAGGTTTAACACCTGTTTTCCGGTCAAATCACCGGGCTAGATTCATGTTTACATTCGTGGGTGTTAATATGCGCCTTAATGGACAAGAGCGTGAATTAATCTAATGTTCCGCATTGACAAAAGAAGACTTTGAAACGAAAAATGGCTTGTAAATAGAATTAAAAGGGAACCATGCTCCTTAGGGGGTTTTGAATAACACGTTAACTTCATACCGATTTATTCAGGGAAAAAAGGCACCGTCAATATTTTAACAGCCAATAGAAATGCCTGCTTGAAACTCACAAAAAGCTTCTTTTTTCCGGTTGAGTTGATCTTTTTCACGTGTCGCCTCGTTGATAAGTTCGCCGCTGATTATTTGCATCTCCAAGCAAAAGAACTCAATACGAGATAATTTTAGGCAATGTTTAGTCTCGTAACAATGTTCTCACTTTGAACTGTCCACTGCTTCTACCGCACTGGCTTACAGAGTTTCTTAAAAAAACACGCGTTCATCGGCACATACATACAACATGGCAGATTGTCAAAGAGCGTCTTTCTTCGTTGAGGCTTTCTGGTTGTAGTGGATAATTCTACAGGATCTCAGCTGTGACAGTAATCGTCGGCAGAGGGATGTCGCTGTCTTATGAAGCCTGACTTCATGACTTTTGAGATCCCGTTACACATAAAACCTTTCGTTACAAATCGCTAATCGTGTTTATGTCATCGTAGGACTTCTTTCGCTTTGTCAGTACAAAATCATGACACGGGGAAATCGCCGAGTCCTGGGTCTTGAAGAATGAGGGCCTCGCGGTATCTTCGCTCAAAGAGGCTAAGTTTTACAAGAAAGGTAGGATTTATATTTGTAAAACCGTAATGTGTTTAACGCGTCTCTTAGTCCGAAGTATACCTTGAAGACGGTTGGATATGTTTTTTTTTCCTCAAATGTGAATTGTATGTCTACCAGACCGAATATTTCGGTGGCGTATTCGTGAATTTAGTTCTTTAACCTATTTATACAGATCGCTGCCCCACTACATTGAGTTCATTTTATTGGATTCTCGTAACGAATAACATTTATAACCGCATTGAAGGGTCATCAGTTGGCGAAATCGTGTTTTTGACGGAAACTCTTTCGTTACTTCCAGGAAAAAGAAGCTTAGTTTTGAAAACACGAAAAAAGCAGTTCTACAAGCCGTCGAAGAACCAAACTTGTAGGGGTTAAAGTGTTTTACTTGAGTAAAAGAACATTATGCTTTCCAGCTTATCCTAAATGCAATTTTGCATCTGCTTATCTGCTGTAAAGAGCAGATGGTTTGTGTTGCGCTCATCCATTTGATTTTCGCCGATGAATTTCTGGGAATAATCGATCGTGTCAAGATTGAGCGGTATATATACAAAACCCGAAATTCCCCCGGAATATAACTTGGGGTACGGAACTAGAGAAAGTAATCTGTCTTAAGCGTTTCTTGGAAACAGACTATAAGAATTGCGATACATTGGTCGTCACGGTCTTTCTTTGAATTGCGGTCTTACTATTATTTTTGTTTGCTTCAATTATTTAGCGCCTCTATTTGTTTTCGTCCTATGAATGGGACCCAAAACTAGCAATTTCAACCTGAAGAATTATTTTATTTTATTCATAGACCGGACTAAACCTTTCAAATAACCATAACAAACGTTCAGCTGTCTGTTCAAGATGGCTTCTGGTTGTGTTATATCAGTACAGTCCACTGTGGTTAAGTTTTAGCGAACGGGGATTTTTCAGTAACTATGGAGCGGATTTTATTGAGACGAGAAATTAAACCAAGTAATCATCACGTGCGTTCGATGAGGTTATACAGTTCTACATGGCTAAGCAAAAGCTTTCTTGAAACACAAAGTATATGCACCGTATGGCCAGACAAATTACTGCCTCAGCTGAACGCTCAAGTGCGTGCATAGAGGAGTACACGCGAGGAAAAGCTGACTTCGAACAATTTTAAAACTTATGGAGTACATATAAGATTTTCCCACCATGCAACTGATTGACCGCAGCTAAGCAGACTATGTTAGATCAAGATGATTTAAATCAAACATTTTGATTCTAGGGAGGTAAAATAATCTACTGGTATATACCGTCAGCGACAGACCGAAAAACTAACGTCTCGCGAGGACATTCGCGTAGTTCTCGCGCGTCTTTCGCGATCTGTTGCAATTGATGCAAACGGGGTTAACTGTTAATGAATAAAAAGAAGAGAAGAATCTTTAAAAACATCTCAGGAAGAAATTGCTTGCTCTCAATTTCCCCTCAGAAATGAATGCTATATAGTCAGGGAATTGACAAAGATTTAGATAAGGATGGGTCGCGACTTAAAAGGCACCAAAGTTGCTGCCACGTGATAAATAATCGTTTACCTTAATTTATATATATAGTTTTTGACGAACAAACGGGGCGAGATAGATCTGTACGGTGAACTTTTACCCTGCTGGGATATACATAACAAGCAAATCAATTTGGTTGGTGAAAGTTTTTCAATCGATTTAAACTGCACACACAACTGACAATTAACGCCTAAGAATTTCTTGACTATTCTGTGTTTACACCTGATACAATAAGAAAAATATCCGACAAACTGATCTGCATGGCAATGAGAAGAGAGAAGAGAAAGAAATGATATGAAGAACAGACAGTGGTGTACATTTACCCAGCACATTTTCGGTTTCCACAAAAAAATCTTCTACGTTGGCTAAAAAAGT